AAAACAATCAATGATGAACTCTAGAGTATCTGCCACAGTGAAGACCTGCAAACAAATGAATGATGTTTAGAGAAAATTGGCAATTCACAAACTTTCCCAGCCACCCTGTCAAGAATGTGTTTTGTTTTTACTCTTCAAATTGCTCCTGCGATTCCGAAATCAAAATCCACCAAGAAAAAAGTATAATCAACTAACCTTAATATGTCATTTCCGATTAAAAGGGAAAACCACTTCTTTTCCTTCTTTTCCTTCTTCTTGTACTGTCAAAGACACCACCGGAGATGGAGTTTTCTTCCGGTGAATAATAGAGGCAACACCCTCCCATTTACCTTCTTATTTTTCCTGTAAAAAAAATCAAACAAACACCCTTTTGATCGATTTTTCTTCCTGTTTCATCATCCTTCGTGTTAGCTGCCAAATAACAAAGAAGAGGGTGCAAGGAGATTACCGGAGACCCTTTCCCTTCCTTCCCGTCGACCCTCACTGCAAAACCACCCTCACCAAAGCTGTTATCGCTGATCGTTTCCCCCATCACACCTCACACTTTCTACGGTCGAGCAATACCCACCAAAACCCCACCTGCGACCCTGTCACTGCTTATCGGACATCTTCTGGCCTCACCCCTCACTCTCCCTTTCTTCCTATCGACCAACGACCTACGAACATATTGTCTTCATCGCTGCTTCTTCCTATCTTCTTTCCTTTCGGCCTCGTCGACCCCCGTAGACGATCCGTTTAACAGAATCGATCGACAAAAACTCGTGCTGCATGCAATCCTTCGTGCTTCCTTCTCGCCGTCTTCCTTTATTCATTTCCCTTTCCTTGATCAATTAGGGTTTAAAGGAAAAGAAGCGGTTTTCCCTTTTCTTTGATAGTTTACAAAGAAGTGGCTTCCATCGGGTTTAAAGGAAACGAGAGAGAGAGAGAGAGAGAGAGAGAGAGAGAGATATTTTAGGAGTTGATAAAAATAAGATAAAACCTAATGACTATAGTACCCTTTTAGGTAATTAGGAAGTTACAGTTTAATCCTATGACTTTCAGAATTTATATAAATGGCCCGTTAATATTAACCTTTGATTCTAAATTTTAGAAGGTTTATATTTGTTCTCACGTTCTCAACCTTTTAGGTGTTTTCATTTATATATATATATATATATATATATATATATATATATATATATATATATATATATATAACAAAACTTGAACCCTCAATCTTAATGAGAAAGGAAAAAGAACCACATCTGATACCTTTGGAATACAAAGGGCCACAACGGATATCTTGGAGTAGAAGCCCTTTATTAAATGATTTTTATATAACACCAAAAATAATATAATGAATATTAATCGAATACTAAATGATATTAATAAATTATATATGCCGTAAAAAATCAGAACACCTAATATATTATAATGAGATCATCATGAAGTACAATTGACCACGAAATGCAAGTAGGCGGCTGTTGTTGATAGAAAAGGCAATAATTAAGAGGCCTCCCAGCTACCGTTACCCATACATTTGACTTCAATATCAATGACCAATCGTGTCTTTAAAGCTAAGCAACATCTAATATATATTTGGTAAACCCAAGTTGACCAATTCACCAAACGCTGTGTGAATGAATATTTTAAACCTATATATATCAAGTTTATCCATGTGTATGTGAACATCCAACTGTTATCATGCAAATCTGTTGACCAACTGCTGTATAAAACTAAAATCCTTGATACCATAAATCCAACGACACTTCCAAAGAAAAAACAAACAGTGCTTTTCTGTAATCTGCATCCCGGAATTAAACCATGGCATCCAATGACTCCGCTATTCCTCCACATGCCCATGCCGCCGTTAGCATGGAGGTACCACTAAAGTCGTCAGCACCACCACCGGAGTATAGTGCTACAAGAGGCGCAGGTGGATCCAAGAAGCATTCAGTAGTTGATGTGTTCTTCAGGGTCGTGCTTTTTGCAACTACCGTGGCTGCTATCGTTCTTCTGGTCATTTCTAATCAAACTGAGCTTATTCCGATTGCACCCGGAATAGCAATATCCAGGACTGGAAAATTCAGTCACTCCCCAGCTCATATGTAAGTAACTTCAACTTCAACCACCAAAACCATTGGCACAAACTGCGTCTATTATGAGACACGATATATATTTACACTCTTTTTATGATGTAGAAACCTTTTGGCAACGCTCTCCACGGCTGCTTTATACAGCATCATCACTGGTTTAATATCAGTTTTCGCACTCAGGAAGCCAGGAGGATCCTCAACGAAGCTAAAGTTTCATTTTGTGATAGTCGATTCAGTAAGCTCCTGAACGACACTAATTTATTTATAATGGATCCATGTTTCATTCGTATACAAAGCAAAACAAAATAAAATAATTTTAACTATGAAAATGATATACTGACATATAATTATAATCGGGTATGGTGCAGCTGCTATTAGGTATTATGGCTGCAGCAACAGGAGCATCAGGAGGTGTATCATACGTAGGACTCAAAGGTAACTCTCATAGCAGATGGAACGAGATCTGTGACACGTACGATACTTACTGCATCCGTGTTGGGGCCTCTATTGCTTTGTCGCTCGCATCCTCCGTAACACTTCTACTGTTGGTTTGGATCAATGTCTATGCACTTTCCAAGAAAATCGCCAGGCGATAGTTTACTACAATATCAAAAATATTTCATATGTACAAGTTTCATGTTATTCATCTTTTGTAGTGTAAATTTGTCTGTACATGTTTTACTCCGTGCCAGTTTTGTTTTGTGTTTGTAATATTTGTGATTGATAAAGATTGCATTTTAGTTATTGTTGATTTTGTTATATTTTAAAGCATTAGGGGTCCTACATATGTTGAAAGAGAAAGATAAATCTTAGCATTCCATCTTTCGTCGTTCCACGACTTTCGAGCATTTGATCTTTTTGACTTTAGAATATATAATTTATGGATTCAGAAAATTTTGTAAGTGCTTTATGACGTGAACGCAAGCATTTATGTTTAAAGAGTATTACATAAAAAATGTGTCGATACCTACTAGGGTATATGGATGCTCTTTTTCCCATTGAACATTCATATATGGATGCTCTAAAAATAATATTTCAATTAAACTCTGTTTTTTAATTAAAAGAGGTTTATAATGCGTAAATATTAAAACAAATATAGTTTTTAATAGTCATCGTACAATGAGTGAGATGACAAACGGGCAACAAGCTGTGTCACTAAGCCTTTTCGAATGATAAAGTTAATTCTTTTAAAGACTACATCCGAAGATCTAGGGGATATAACGTTACTATGCATGATTCATTGTACTCTTTTAAGAAGCTCTACATCATCCGGTGCGAGGAAACCAATCGTATCAAATGCAAATGATATGAACACGTGTTGATTTTCCAGGCACGATCTCTCATGTTTGGTGACTTTGCCTGTGGCTGCTTTTGAAGCAGCATATCCCTCTGTGAAACCCCCAACCCTCAGGCCCACGAGAGGGGATACCCCTGTAAGATCCACACATGCGTGTTTCCCTCCGACCCATCCAAAAATCAGAATGTCAGCCTGTCTGAGGGCTGACCTTCCTTCTGTCGGGTTAGTCAAGAAATTAACAGGTGACTCTTTCTTAGCAGAAACCCCGACACGCTTAAACATATGAAACAAAACATCCCTAACCATATCGTGCTTGTATTTGAACCCTAAGAGTTATTTATAGTGAACTGCATGTTCCCCAAAAGAGTCCAAACATGTCTTGCGACACACAGGACATATCTCGTCAGCTGGAAAAATGGGAATCATGAGTCAATATTTGAGAATAGTACGTTACTCCATGGTAGACATGTGTTGGCCAAACCCATCTATAGGAATAACCAGAATAAAATCTTGAACATATGATATACGTAAACACTAAAAAACCGCTTCCTTTAAAATAGATTCTTCAAAATGAATAAAAAATACTTTATCTTAAACAACTGATAAATTAAAAAGTTATTATCTATTAAAAGTTAAAAATAATGCTCTTTCCACTTGATTATAAAATAATATGTATTTCTCTTATCATTATCTTCCATTTTCAAAATCACCAATTGCTTAACATGCAAATATATCACGTTAAATCCAAACATATTGATTTACGAATCATTTTTAAAAGAGAAATTATATATATATATATATATATATATATATATATATATATATATATATATATATATATATATATCATTCTACCAAAAAAAATAGTGACATTTGTAACATTTAATGTTTATTTAATTATATTTTAGTATATCAATATAACACATGTCATCATTTAAATGAATAGGAAGATTGATAGAAACAAAAAATAGAAAAATATTTAATTTACCTTTTCAAAATCCTCTAACCATATATTTTGACCTTAATTCGTTATTTTAGTTATAAAAGATTACGATGATCTTTAATTAATTGATTACATAATCACCAGATTGCATAGACTTATATATATTTCGCTTTCTAGAATCTACCATAACTACGATAATATAAATCATCAAACCTATAAATTGTAGATTAAAGCGGTCACCATTACCTTCACGTAGTTTTCTTTTCATTCAACTCTACTCATGTATCGTTTTCAAACTCATAGGTACAAATATAACCATAATATTTTCTTCTTTTCTCCTTTTCAGTCTGTAACCGGTATACAATTAATGTGTTTTTTTTTGTACAAACAACAATGTACTTATGTCGATATGTCTAAAACATATATTGTACTGTTTTGCCCTGCAACTAAAACTGACAACTAGAATATATATATCACATTTTAATAGGGACAAACAATATGATTTTATAATATTGTTTAACAAAATTTTATTACATATTATTATATATTCCTCTTATTCCAATGCAAGAAACAAAAATCTACTTGTGTCGATTATTGTATTATAGCATCCTACTTTAATTTCTTCCTATTACAACACATATTGTACAGTAAAAAAAGTCTAAATGTTTATATTTTATATGAAAAACTTTACTTGTTTATATTTTATAATAAAACACACATTCTAACATTTTTCCTTTCTACTAGAAACAACCACTACAGTATATCACATTATAGCAGGGACCAAAAAATGCGATTTTATGTTAGTGTTTAACAAATGTTTATTACATTGATACTGCAGGTAATAATAGGGACCGGTACTTTAATTAAAGTTTATGTGGTTGTTTATTTTCAAAATGTCAACACAAGTGTATGCATACTGTTTCTGTGTGTAATAGTGCCACATCTTAAGTGTTTGACTTTTATATTGCATTTTACAAGGTATTTGTAACGTCCCAAAAATATTAAGTGAATTTTTTTTTTCAGTCAACCAAAACCATCAATCATTTATTTCAAAATCATTCAAAGTGTATCAATGTAGAAAATAGTTATCAGAGTACAAATCAAAATCATAGAATACGGAACACCGGTGGATGTTGTGCGATCATGTCGGACCCTTCCCTTTTGAACCAAAGGTACCTAAAACCATAAACATAAATTGTAAGAACAAAGTTTAGTGAGTTCCTAAAATACCACATACCATACATACATCGGGCCCTACCCGGCAGCGGGCCACACTCGGTACATATATGCAGTCACATGTGGTGGGCCCCGCCCAACATATTCATCAGGCTCCGCCTGACATTGGGCCCTGCTCGATATACATACAAATGATGGGTTTTTATATGTATAAATGCGGATAAATCTTTAACACTTAAGGGTACATGCAACCTAAAGATCTAAGTCATAAAACTATTGATGTAACATTATATTGAACAATAAAAACCTTCTAATCCTAGGTAATTTCGACAATTGTAGATGAAAAACCACACCTTTTGATTGTTGTAGTAAACAATCAAGAATCCTTCTTCAATAACTTGCAAGTTAGCACCACAAGTGTCGTGTCTTTGATGGTTCACACCCAACACCAGCAACAATAAATTTTTGAGAGAGAAGATGAGATATGAGATTTTCGGCTATCTCTTGAGTAGGAGGAATGGCTAAAAATTTAAGCTCAAAGGGTCCTTTTTGTTGGAATAGTGTCTAAGGTTGTAACTATATTTGGCAAGTATTTGATCCGGTTGAGCATAATCCTTTTGGGTTGCCTTCACCATAGCAACTTGACATGATGATTTATAATGAGAGAAGAAATATTATTAATATATTATGAGGATAATATAAGGAATAATAATATTGTTATTTGATTAATATAAGTCATAAATTAATTAGGAATTAATTTAGTGACTTAAAAAGGTTAATTGAATAAAGGGGCATAAACTGTCAAATGTGTGATAATTGTATTTTGGGCTATGAATCTTTATGGATGTGAGGGAGGATGATTTTAGGGTTTGGAGAAACCTAGAAATCATCCAAGGCCTAGTCTATAGGGATCATTGGATTGCTTAGGGCCTAATTTATTCAATTAGGGTTTAAGGTGTAACCCTAGTAGCTCATAGTATATAGACCCATTGGGTGGAGGAAATCGGCACTCATGCAAGACAAGAAACCCTAGGGCCAATTTTCGCACCCTCTTCTCTCTCTATTATCATCCTCTTGCTAGTTGGTGTTTGTAAGCCATTAGAGGAGTGACAATTGTGACTCTAAGCTCCAAAGATAAGAAGATTCAAGCGAGCAACTCAAGGTATTCCTTTATATCTGGTTTCATATGTTATGATTTGAATGTTTATACTATATCTATCTATAAAAGTGTTGGATACATTGCATGTTCAATTAGAGAAACCTAGATCCAAGCATTAGGGTTTGCATGTGCACATAGGAAAGTTCTTATGGCTCAAACCCATAAGTGGTATCAGAGCCTTGATTGGTTTCTATTGAATTGATACATTGGTTGATTTCTTGTTGATTGCAAAATTCGATTTTTGTCCATCTGCCTGATGAACTCGGCGAGTTCCATAGTGAACTCGGCGAGTCCATTGTGGTACTCGGCGAGTTCGAGCGTCAGATGGAGCTAGTTTCGGGATTTCTTGCTATTTTTCTTATGGAAACTTGCCTTAATCTTTATGGGTCAATAAAATTCGAATTTTAACATATATGTGAGTGTATTCTTGACCTAACAAAAGATATTTACCAATTAGTTGAATAATAATTTCCTTATATGATATTAATTGATTATTTTAATTAAATTGGTGAATTGTTTTGCAAGAAACATTTAAATAAATCAAATATGGATAATTATGAGATTAAATGGTTAATTTAAATTATTTGTTATTTGATCCCTTATGTTTTGAAAAGTTTACAACTGATCCTCAAGTTTTGAAATTTAGTTTTGTGATTAAAAGTTTAATTTGGACAACTTAAATTTCAAACCCTAGAATTTTACAAAGTTTAAAATTCAACCTTATAGTAATATAATATTACAAGACTAATATATATATATATATATATATATATATATATATATATATATATATATATATATAATTAAAATGCTAGTCTTACCGTTAGTAGGCCTCATTCACGAAGCCGGTCTATAAGGTGGGTATAAGGTTGCTGCCTTAAAATGGCGCTTAATGGGTGTACACTCACACCCACCGCTTGCTTGACCGGTGGAGGGTCGTTAGCCGAATGGGTAGAAGAGGGAAACACTATCTCCTCATTAAAAGTATAATGTTAAAATACAATGTAACTACATTCCAAATTCCCAATCCTAGTTACTTTAGGAAAAGTGAATTGATGCAAACCCATGAAATTACACTTTGCACCCTTACTAAGAAGTTAGTGGAGCATGTGTCGTTTACCGGCACACTAATTGGTTCTAAGCAAAGGTGGAAAAGGGTGATTCATTGTTTATCATAGTTCGGTGGAGCGTGTGTGGTTTACCGGCACATCGAATAGGTGATAGTAATAATGAAGGCACCGTGTAGATTTGCATGGTTATTCACACCCACTTTGTGATCCTCGGCATCCCAATCACAAACGAAAGGGGCATATCGAGATTTAAAACATTCCATTGAAACGTTCAATGAATCTCATCGAAATCTAGGAACTCTAAATGCATTTAAAACTTAAGGTTATGTTTTCATGGTGGAGAATTAGTGAATCGTCATTCACTTACCTTCAAATTGTTTGCACGTTGGATTATGGCATCCCTTTTCTAATGTGTAAATAATGTTGTTGGATCCTCGCCCTAATTTTTCATATTGGGTGGTAATTAGGGATTCAATTCTAATCAAACTTTTTCCTTTTCTATTTGTAGACGTCGAACGCAAACAACGCTGCTGCTAGCTCATTCACGTTAATGAGCCTTTGCCAAAAAGTGACTTTCGATGGAACGAACTTTAGCGAATGGATAAGATACATTCACACGATTGCTCACTACAAGGACAAGGAGTATGTCCTTGATGAGAAGCTTGAAAAAGTCAATCCAGAAATCGCTACTCTGGCTGAAATGACTGTCTTTGAGACTCATGAGCGTGATGCAACGAAAGTTCATTGCATCATGATAGCCACAATGAACGTCGAATTCCAAAACTCCTATGAGGACATATATCCGTACAAGATGCATCAAGACTTATTGGAGAGATACCATCAAAACGCGAGGCAGGAACGTTACGAGATCTTCACTAACATGATCACTACTAAAATGGGAAATGGAGAATCTCTAACCATACACTTGCAAAAGATGCAAAGGTATGTCGATCGTCTTCGAAAGTTGAATGTCGACTTTGGGGAAGACTTGGCTATCGACATGGTCCTTCACTCCTTGCCTCTGTGTTACAACCAATTTAGGATGACCTACCACATGAACAAGGAAGAGGTCACCCTAAGCAAGCTCCAAGGGCTCCTAAGGGTTGCTGAGAGCAACCTTAAGGACAAGTCTGTTGCACAAACTCCCAATCCACCTGCTGCTCCTGTTTTGGCTATAGGGCAGGGAAGGGGCAAAAAGAGGAAGGCTCCATCAAAGAGCCACCGCAAGGGAAAGACCCGAGATGGTTCCTCTTCTAGTGGGACCAAGGTTGATCCTGCTAAACCCAACCCTAACCCGAAGGAGGTAGAGTGCCACCATTGCCACAAAATAGGGCATTGGAAGAGAAGCTGCCCAAAATATCTGCAAGCCATCAAGGATGGAAAGATCAAGACGTCTTTCGCAGGTATTTACACAATTAAATCTAATGATTCATCTCATGATATTTCTTGGGTTCTTGATACTAGGTGTGGTTACCACATTTGTTCTGAATTGCAGGGACTAAGAAGAAATAGGGATGTGGAGCATGGAAGAATAAATCTAATCATGGGAAACAGAAGATCGTCACATGTTACCAAGATTAGAGTGTATTCTTTAGTGCTTAGTAATGGATTAAGTTTAGATTTGAATAATTGTTGCTACTCGCCAGATATGGCAAGAAACATCATTTCATTTCATGGTTTGTTTAGACAAGGATTTAGATATTCGTTTAATAATGAGAATGGTTCGATTTATGCTTATCTAAATGGTGTTTTATATTTTGAAGCAATGCCTTGTAATGGAATTTATGAGACTGTTATGATTGTAGATAAATTAGGAAATGATGTTTTATGCATGGATTCTTCCAATAGTATGGATAAAGCATGTTTGTGGCATTGTCGTCTTGGACATGTCAACAAGAAGCGCATAGCCCAACTCGAAAAGGATGGAGTGTTGGAGTCATTCGACCTTAGGGAAGATGACACGTGTGAGTCTTGTTTTCTTGGAAAGATGACCAAGTCACCCTTCACTGGTACTTGTGAGAGGGGTGAGGGTTTATTGGATCTCATACATACCGATGTATGTGGACCCTTTAGATCCACCACAAAGGATGCAAACCGCTTCTATGTGACTTTCACCGATGATTATAGTAGATATGGGTATATTTACTTAATCAAGCACAAGTCAAAGACGTTTGAAAATTTCAAAGAATTCAAACATGAAGTGGAGAATCAATTGGGCAGGAAAATCAAGATGCTTCGATCCAATCGAGGAAGAGAGTACCTAAGTCTTGAATTCCACGACTATCTCAAAGAATGCGGAATAGTTTCGCAATTGATGCCACCTAGGACACCGCAGTTGAATGGTGTGGCAGAAAGGCGTAATCGAACCTTGTTAGACATGGTTCGTTCTATGATGAGTCGTGCTTCACTACCTATCTCATTCTGGGGGTATGTCTTAGAGACTTCCGCCCATATCCTTAACCGAGTCCCTAAAAAGAAGGTTGCCAAAACACCTCACGAGATGTGGACAGGGAAAGCTCCCTCGTTGGCACATATCAAGGTTTGGGGTTGCGAGGCTTTCGTAAGACGAGATACTCACGAAAAGCTCGAACCTTGTAGTGAGCGATGTATTTTCATCGGCTACCCGCAGAAATCCTTTGGATATCTCTTCTATAGACCGAATGACAATGTTTTCTTCGTTGCGAGGAGAAGGGTTTTCCGAGAGCGAGAACTCATAAACCAAGGGGACAGTGGGAGGCTGATCGAACTTGAAGAGATTCAAGAATCGAGTGATGAAGGAACCTCTACCGTTGGCGCTCAACCCAAGGAGGAAACTCCGGTTGAACTAATTGACGAGCCCTTACCTATTAGACGTTCTGAAAGAGTTAGAGTTCAACCCAAGTTCTATGGTTTTCATATTACTACCGAAGGGGACACGTATATTAGTGATGGTACACTAATAAATCTAGATGAACCTAATAGCTATAAGGAAGCCATGGCAGGCCCAGAGTCTGCAAAATGGAAAGAGGCAACGCACAGTGAGATTCAATCCATGTATGATAACCAAGTTTGGAATTTGGTTGATAATGTGCCCGGACGTAAGACCGTTGGGTGCAAATGGATCTTCAAGAAGAAGACCGACGTGGATGGGAATGTACACACATATAAGGCGCGATTGATTGCGAAGGGATTTACTCAAACTCCCGGAGTTGACTATGATGAGACCTTCTCACCAGTTGCAAAGATAAAGTCTATTAGGGTGATGCTAGCTATTGTCGCATTTCATGATTATGAGATATGGCAAATGGATGTCAAGACCACTTTTCTTAATGGGAAGTCGGCTGAGGATGTTTACATGGCTCAGCTGGAAGGTTTTATTAATCTGAAGCATCCAAATAAAGTGTGCAAGCTTGAGAAGTGCATTTGTGGGCTTAAGCAAGCATCTCGTAGATGGAATCTTTGCTTTGATGAGAAAGTCAAAGATTTTGTATTTGTACGAAGTGAAGATGAATCATGTGTATATGTCAAAGCCAGTGGGAGTATAATTAGCTTCCTTATTTTGTATGTCGATGACATACTACTCATAGGAAATGACGTCCCGACACTACAGGAGGTTAAGTCCTGGCTCGGGAAGTGCTTCGCTATGAAGGACCTTGGAGAGGCTTCCTATATCTTGGGAATAAGGATAGTGAGAGAACGAAGTAAGAGACTAATAGGACTTAGTCAGAACACTTACTTAGATAAAGTACTGAAACGTTTTAGTATGGAAAACTCGAAGAAGGGAGAATTACCAATACAAAGTAATGCCAAGTTGAGTAAGACTCAAAGTCCGAGTACCGAAACCGAGATAGTAGAGATGAGCCGAGTACCTTACGCTTCCGCAGTTGTCTCAATCATGTATGCTATGACTTGTACTCGCCCTGATGTAGCATTTGCTTTGAGCATGGTTAGTAGATATCAAGGGAACCCTGCAGAGCCCATTGGATTGTGGTTAAGAATATCCTTAAGTACCTTCGGAGGACCAAGGAATGGTTTTTAGTCATTAGAGGGAGTGATGAATTAAAGGTGCGAGGGTATACTGACGTTAGCTTTCAGACTGACAGGGACAACTACCGTTCACTACTAGAAAAACAGCCTTTTACGACGCTCATTGCGTGTCCTAAAAGGCTCAGACGACGCGCAAATGCGCGTCAAGGAAGGCCCTGTTATAAAGAGAGACGACACGCATTTACGGCGCTCATTTACGACGCGCAATTACGACGCGCGTTTACGACACACAATGCGTATCAAGGAAGGCCCTGTCATAAAGGAAGACAACACGCATTCGCGTGTCGTAACCTTACGCTGCGCGTGTTAATGACACGCAATACGTATCAAGAAAGCCACTGTCAAGAAAGGCGATGTCATAAATGAAGATGACACACATTTTTGCGTATCATAACTTTAAATGTTTAAAAAAATATATTATTTATAGATTTATTAATTTTCAAATTAAATAATACATTAAAAATCTCATAATACAAAATAAAATACCATAAATAACAAAGATAATTCATTTCACTAATATGTCAAATACAAATAATTATTCCAAAAGTGAGTAAATGTTATAAAAAAATGAACTCATTTATATACAATTGCATCATCAAGCTTACTATGTGCCAACAACTCTCTATGTGTTTACTTTTTCTTGAGTCTCGTTTCCTCCAAAGCTTCTAGCCATGCCAAAATATGATATCTTGAGTCCCGTATGAATAGATCGCGCGTAATAGGTCTAGCTTGTATCATTCCAAATAATTCCAATGTTGGTCTCTATACAAGCCAATAATTTGAGAACTTAATTTTACCATTATTTTATAATTAAACAAATAAGAAAACAATAAATACCTTCTGCCATATATGAAAGAGAACAAGATAAACAAGATCAGTATCGCCACTTTCAGTTGCCTTAGTCAGGGCTGTATCTTCTTCCCCAATGCCTAGAAACAAAGGAACCTGGAAAAGTGCTAATTTCCTCCTGCTAGTCTGATCTGCATGAGCAGCAACTGCAACATAAGAAATGCTTCTACACAATTTTAACTGAAAAATCCCAAAAAGTTAGCCATTAACATTTTTTAGTGTACTTTAATCCTATAAAACTTTGAACAAACCTTATCAAGTATGATATATCCTGATAACCACTTCATCCAGAATAAGCCTAAAAAAGAATCAATCCACCAATCAAAACTTGTAAGCTTTTTTAAGTTTCAAGCTCCATATTTCAAGTACGTTGCTATTTTATGCAATTTGATGAAATAACACTTACAAGACAACCTTGTTCTTGTTGATGATCAAATTTTCAAAAATAAAAATAAATACCCTCTCCTAACTATTACTATTTCATCACGTGGAAGAAAGCCAATTGTAAACAGGTTACAACAACAAAGATATCATGTAATGTAACACAACATTGATCTGCATGCATTTACACACTAAAACATTATTCTAACCTCTATTGTGGTTTTATTTTGTATTGTAAGATGGATATGCCACCCCAAGACCTGCAAATTTGAATCATGCAACCTTTAGATTCATATAAACATAATGAGTTAACACTATTACAAAAAATTAGCATTTATTGGTAAGAAAAATTGGACACACCATAAGATAATTTCCATACAAACACTTTATATGATGAGTTAACACTATTACAAAAAAATTAGCATTTATTGGTAATACAGAAAAAAAAAATCAACATACCGGGTATTTTGGTTAGAACCTTGATTTAGCCATGATGTATATGAGATGTAATGGTTGAAATAGATATTAAGTCAAAGACATAAACATAACTTCACAAGATTAGACATTAAGTCATAAAGAGAGGTATTTTGGTCAAATTTAACATATGGGGTATTTTAGTCAATACCTTGGTTTAGCATTGATGCATAAGATAGAAGGGATGAAATATGCATAAAGTTAATAGAGAAAACCTATACTAATAGAATAATCAGTCCAAAAATATACACAAACACTTGCACACACTTACACAATTACACATACTCACATATCTTTAAATAAGATCTAATTATGACCTTATATCTCTATTTATTTTTATTTTTCTAGGATAAAATATTAGTTTTCTTATCACTAGTCAGTTTTCTTTTCACTAATTACCATAGGTGCTTACAGAAATTCTTCAAATTTATTTTTATTTTTCAGGGTTATAATATTAGTTTTCTTATCACTAGTTTTCTTATATATATATATATATATATATATATATATATATATATATATATATATATATATATATATATATATATATATTACCTCCAATGGCTTTAGTAGCATCCTTAAGGCTCCCAGAAAAGTATTGTTGTAGAACACTTTAACTAACATTCTTCTTAGTTGTACTTCGTTTTTTACTATGATTGTCTCCTTGATCCACCAACCATATTCAAGTCAACACAAAATTTAAGTCAATATATATATATATATATATATATATATATATATATATAATTCAAAAAGTAATATTACCTGATCAGGTGGACGAGGTCCAATCCTAACATCAACAGGTTACGTGCCATTAACAGAAACTTGATCACGAGGAATGAAACTCCCTTCAACTATTCTGATGTCCAACTGGAAAGTGCTTATGATCCTGCCTATTACATATATCAGGTATCTAATATTAAAGACTGTTTTTCCCTTGGGTAATTTATGAAAAATATAATTGAATGAAGATTAATGAATTGGGTTGTTGCAGACATTGAAAGATTTTAGGTCCATTAATTTGAGGGCCAATGATGACAACATCATAAGGCCATAAATCAAAACTTAGCAGTGATTTTAAGGAAGTCGGATGACACACCCATCAGTAGTAGCTGAATCCTGAGATTTTATTTTTACAGGTCAAGAGAGCAGAAAGAGTGCGATCAGTATGTGTACCACGATCCAGCAAAGATATATTGGATATATATCCAGATCAATTATTTTTCAATAATCTTACTTAGTAATATTGAAATTTTGATGTGGAGTTGTTTTTATAAAAAATAAAATAAAATAAAGTTTTATAACATAAACAAAAAAATCTAAAATGAGTTGTTCACTTTCAAGATCAAATCTCACTCATTTTATCCATTTATTTATTTCAATTCATATGTTAGTAGTTTAGAAGTGAACCATTCAAGATTATTCATCATTCCTAGTGTTTAACCATAATGAGAATCGTTCCATGTTTCCTTAATGTTAAAACAAGAAATAAAGGGCCAAAATGACAAAATTACCCTTGTGTGTTAACTGTTAAGCATGTGCATAGTCTTAAAGGGGCCAAATCCAAAACCATAGGAAACATAAAGCAAAAAACAAAGTCTAACATACAAACAATAGATATTTTCATGGGTGGAAAGATGAAGCAGAAAAAGTTGAAATAAAAGAAGAGTTATGTGATTAAGGAAGCGGTGGAGATGGTGGTGTTGTGGTGGTGGTTAATGTTTAATTTATCTGATTTTTTTCCTACATTTAGGTTTAATTAATGAGAGAAATCAATACCTTAAATTATAGAAACCATCAGAACCTCTGAGATTTAAAAAGAAATCGATGGAATTTCGTTCTTATTCTTCTTCTTCGTCCATGATCAGAAAAATAGGAAAAAGAAGGGCGCCCTTACAGAGTTCACATTCTGGTATGGAAAGCACTGTACTCCTTCTATTCCCTTCTTATTCTTCAGCTAACCATCAAGGGCAGCAACACCTTTTGTTTCTTTTCTTCTTTCCCATCAATTTCACAACCCCGATTGTACTCCTTCTTCCCTGTCAAATAAAGCAAACCAAACACAATTCTTTTAATTTTCAATGTTTTCTTTTCCCAGTAAACTGAAACACCCAAACATCCCAATATTCATTGATACTGGTCTACAAAAAAAAAAAAAAAGAATACGACCTGTGAGGTTCAAGCAAACCCTATCCGTTTACCTTCAATCACTGAAGATCACCACAACTTCGTTCTTCTTCATCCTTCGATCTATCCAAAGGTATTATTCCTGGAAAATTTGATCACCATGTGAAAAGAATTAATAAGAATAAAAAGTTCAAGAGAACATAAAGCAACTACAGAGAGTGTGAAGGGACATACAAACAACTATATGGACAGGATACTTGCATCATACCTCCTCCATGACCAATAAGAACATAAGATGTGTAAAATAAGTGGATAAACTAGATGATATTAACTATTAATTAATAAGCAACAACTTTGCTTTCTAGCTGCCAATTACAGCTTCTTGTCACAGGCTCTTAAACCTAGAGAGATTACATAATGCCATCTTTAAAATCTAGCATTTAATTCATTTATCCTACTAACATTGAATTTTGTCACTTAGAAGAATCCTATGAGTCTCAATCTCCCCCTGTTGGTGACTCCATTGATTCCCACTGTCACTACCAAGTGTTAGCAGCTTCTCCACATTTTCGAATACAACACAAATCCGTTTTACATCTTGGATTATTTCCATATCACCCGGTAGCTTGTTCACTGCCAATGCTAGTCTGGTTAAGAGTGTCAGCTGCAGCTCTGAAATTAGTACACACCATTTGCTCCAGTAATTGATGTGGTCTTACTGTTTCTAGATAATGAAGTGTCTGTATAGATATTGGATGATGTTAGTTTCATTGATCATGGAGAGTAAATGTCGAAAAATAAAAAAATGTACCTTTTCTCCTTCTCTATTTGGGTCCATAAAATCATCAAACAACAAAAAGTTAAGGGAGTCATCAGAGATAAAAACACCATTTTATATAGTACCTGAAGATAAGATGTCCTTCTCTAACTGCCCGGAGAAGCTCTGACAAAAATTATACACAATTTTCAGCAAAGAAATTTATTTTATATAATATCCTATATGTGATGTGACAACTTGCAAAAGAATCACCCAAGACTTCAAATGCATGGAGCCTTTTTTCATGCATGTCTTCTATCATAATTCGTGGATCCTATGATTTAAATAAATATATAAAAACTGTCAATTTATTCATTGTGGAGATTAAAAAAAAAAAAAAAGATAGCATGTGAAAATTAGATCAACCTGAGTAAATGGAGCATGCATATTGTCATGTGATTTCAAAAGTATTAAGGATTCCACCACACCTGCTGATCCCCTCCTCTTAACAGATGTCATACAAGTTGGGGTGCTACAAAATACATAACAAGAAAAGGTAAAAAAAATGATGGGAACTAACATGCAACAAATGAAAAGTACTTCATATACCAATAATGGTGTACACTAATGTTCAATAAAAAAAAACAAGGAGCTCTCACTTGCTTATTTCACCTGTCACTTTCCTTCACTAAACCTTCTTCTTTTGCTCCTGATGGATAAGAAAAGTCTTCATTAGCCTGCACTTCAGAAAAATAAACCATTAACACAAAATATAAATCATAATCTCTTAGCTTACAAACAAAAAAATGTCAACCCACCTCAACACAAGGAGTATCACTACTATTTTCACTGGTGTCTTCTCAAACAAAATGCCAGATGGAAGTGCCTTTGGAAGAGAGTGGCCTTCCCTGTGTCTCTCCATGAGGAAGAGAGCAATACAAAATTCATTCAATGAAAGCATGATGTCATTGTCTTGATCAGATAAGTCCCATACCTATTTTAGGATATCTGAAACCCAAGAATAATTATAAGATGAAGATGAAGATTTGAAGCAAATTGAGAAACTACCAACTGTCAAGTTTCAATAAATTTGTTGAAAGAAAATGACGCAATCAAATCCCAAAACACATAAATATGGATGAATTCAGAAAAACAAAGGAACAATCATGGTTTTAATAGTTATCGCGCAATGAACCACTCTCCAGCTGCCAACCTCTGCAGAAAGAGTAACAAAAGGTGTAGACATGGCATGGACTTACAATTAAAAAGAGAAGGAAAAGAAGATACCACAATGAAAAATTAAAGAAGAAAAAACCCAATGAAAAGATGAAAAAAAACTACATAAACAGTCTGTGTGCCTTTTAAGTTGCAATGGAACTTGTGCAATTACTTAAATATATTGAAAATTCACTAGAATTCATTCTTAGTTTTTCCTCAGTTCTCTGCTTATTTATTTATTAAATTTTTTTAAATTAAAAAAAACAACATATGGCAAAAATAAGTACCTTTGTTTACCTCTCTAGTTCTGCCCATCTGACTGATCTGGTGCAGAGATGCTCAACCCACTTGTGAAGGGCATGGGATTTACCGGTTCTTGGGTCTCTTCTTGAGAAAAAAAATAAGCTCCATTCCTCCATCAAGCTCAAGAAGAGTAGCCCGCAAAGCCAACTGAATCGGGTGAAGAACCAAAGTGTTGTTAAGCCATTCCTCTGTTGTCTGGAACACAAGAGACAAAGCCACAGTGTATGGCACATCGAGCTTCATCAGCACCTCGATTGCCCTTGGATGATCTTGCTTTGAGGGTCCTCCCACCAATGCAAACCCATTCATCGACACCACCGAGTTCACAAACGGCTTCTTTGTGATAGGGTCAATCAGATACTTCTCGATGGGACCTGAGAATTCAAGCCCACCCGCAAAAAGCAGAATCACCTTTGCACCTTTACTTAAACCTAATAAATCAGATTAGGCAAGAAGGAATGAGAACGAATTCACAAGAAAAAAAAGACATTGGTGTCTGAGATTAGGGTTCAAGCGTAATAGAGATATATAGAGGATGAAACAAACCCTAAATCACTTTGCAGTCTTTTAGGAGCATTCAAGAGCTTTCATGAACCCTAAGCCCAAAGAAATTAAGAAAAGAGGAGGGTGGAGTTTCCTTTGGCATCATTGATGGATGACCTTGCTTCACTTGTTCCATAGTGTAGAATAAGGTGAAGAAGAAGGGCTTTTGCAGAAAAATTTTGATTCTAATACTTTTGAAGAAAATTGAGAGAAGGGGAGGGTGGAATTTGCTTTAGGATTTCTCTATTTTTCTTATTAGAAAAATCGTAGTTGGGAGATGAAGTGTGGAGACAGAAGCAGCGTGAAAGAGAGAAGGATGGAATGAACCCTAAATCGTCGAGGCGGGGTTTTCTAATGTTTTTATTTGATTTCCCCCCTTATCTATTAAAACGTGCATTTGATGAAAATTTTATAAAGCGACATGAATAGACAACACGCCTTTTATGTTGAGTGCCCTCCGTGTTTTTATTTTTTTGTTCTGACATTAATTTTAAGGGCACGCAAAAATACATGCCCTAAATCCTTTAAATTTTAGAAGAGATGACATTACTTCTAGAACACACGCTTTTGCCTATCGTAAATCACTATGTGTCATGGTTTGCGTGTCATTAAAGGTCTATATTCTAGTAGTGGTTCGCAGTCGGGCTGGGTCTTTACCTTGAATGGAGGAGCAGTAACTAGGAAAAGTTCCAAGCAGGAAACCGTAGCTGATTCAACGTGCGAATTAGAGTACATTGAAGCAAGCGAAGCATCGAAGGAGGCAATATGGTTGAAGAACTTCATTGGTGATCTTGGAGTTGTACCTGCCATAAAGGAGCCTGTGGAAATTTTCTGTGATAATGAAGGAGTGGTTGCCTTGACCAAGGAACCGAGGGATCATGGTAGATCTCGCCATATCGATAGAAAATATCACTTTGTTAGACATCGAGTAGAAGAAGGACATCTCGTGGTTAAGAGGATATCATCAGAAGATAACCCAACAGATCCGCTTACGAAAGGACTGAGTAGGGTTAAGCACTTGCAGCATGCTAGGAGTATTGGACTGATGGATGATATTAGTTTAGATTACATAGTTTTAGAAACTTGTAATAGAAAAATGTAATTGACATTTGATGATTAAATAAAGGAGTATTATTTATAAGTAAAGTTACTATCTTATGTTAATTGTTTAACTATTGTTTCACTTTGCATGTTTTGACTTCCTGAATAATTGAGTTATTAAGAATAATTGAATTATTCGAATGGTCCACAATCGTTCATATGTTGGAAGTAGATATGAAAGAAGATTGTCATGAATTGGTATGTAGATTGTCTAAATGGTATTAGACATAGCAAAGGTTTACTGCAATGTTCATGAGTGCTTATGAACTAGTTTTGAGCATTGGAACAAACCTGTGTTTGGTGGAATCACTTTAAGGTATATATAAGTGATCGCAAGATGATAATATCATATGGTCTTAAAACCTAGATATATGGTTTGTTATTTGTTAATTGGTTGTACATTGATGATGTGAAACCGCATCAGTAAATTGATGTTATAAAACGCATTGTTGTGTATGATTGATTGGCGAATAAGTAAATGCATATAAGTCGAAGTTTATCTGTTACTTTTATCCTAAGAAGGTAAAAGCGATATCTCGGCCGCTCGATGATTTGATTTGACTTATGTACCGGGCCCGGTTAGAACTAAATTGATGTGTTTGATTAAGTTCTATGTTGAATAAATCTGAGATCGAGAAACTAAACGCTGGACTATGATTGTGTCCGCATGATATCTGAACAGAGGACTGTACGATCCCTTATCTAAAGGACAGGACTGATAAGATCAGAGTTTGACAATGTATTTGAGAGCTACGACTGCTAATCGGATTGCGCTTGTGTATATAGTTACTAGACTTATCCAAGTGGGAGACTATTGGAATAGTGTCTAAGGTTGTAACTATATTTGGCAAGTATTTGACCCGGTTGAGCATGGTCCTTTTGGGTTGCCTTCACCATAGCAACTTGACAGGATGATTTATAATGAGAGAAGAAATATTATTAATATATTATGAGAATAATATAAGGAATAATAATATTGTTATTTGATTAATATAAGTCATAAATTAATTAGGAATTAATTTGGTGACTTAAAAAGGTTAATTGAATAAAAGGGCATAAACTGTCAAATGTGTGATAATTGTATTTTGGGATATGAATCTTTATGGATGTGAGGGAGGACGATTTTAGGGTTTGGAGAAACCTAGAAATCGTCCAAGGCCTAGTCTATAGGGATCATTGGATTGCTTAGGGCCTAAGTTATTCAATTAGGGTTTAAGGTGTAACCCTAGTAGCTCATAGTATATATAGACCCATTGGGTGGAGGAAATCGGGAGTCATGCAAGACAAGAAACCCTAGGGCCGATTTTCTCACCCTCCTCTCTCTCTCTCTCTCTCTCTATTATCACCCTCTTGCTAGTTGGTGTTTGGAAGCCATTAGAGGAGTGACAATTGTGACTCTAAGCTCCAAAGACAAGAAGATTCAAGCAAGCAACTCAAGGTATTCCTTTAGATCTGATTTCATATGTTATGATTTGAATGTTTATACTAGATCTATCAATAAAAGTCTTGGATACATTGCATGTTCAATTAGAGAAACCTAGATCCAAGCATTAGGGTTTGCATGTGCACATAGGAAAGTTCTTATGTGTCAAACCCATCACTTTTATAGTGCAACTTGAAAACCTTATATAACCCTAGATGTATAAAATAATATTTATTCAAATTGGTAACTATTTAGTTTTCCTATTTATCTGCAATGAATATTCCAAATATCATGGAATACCCTAAAATTCATCCACCTCCTTTTATTATACCCCCAGTCGAGACAGAACATATTGGGTTGTGCGACTAAGTTCATGAATCATAGATAAACTGAATATATAGCACAAGTACAAGGATAAACAAAAGAACATTTATATTCTATCATAAAATTCAAATACAAGGTTCTTACTAGATAATATAGTAGTTGCCTTTAAATAGCTAGGAGGACTTAATAAAACATAGTAAACTAAATTACCTGAGATTCCAGAGTATCCGTTGTCCGAATGTTCTTGATTACTGATTTCTTGAGAATACATGTATTTTGAAAGTCAACACGAGGTTGGTGAGAGTCACATGTTTTCTACTAACGCAATAATACTTTTAATAAGTCTAAAAAATTTATCTTTGTATGTACAACAATAGCTAAAACAGTGTTTGCAATGAGTCATTAAAAGTCAAAAATGTATTTATGTATAAGTAATTTCATACTTTAAACTATGTTTGTAACAAATCCTTGATGTATGCTCACGGTTTAATGATATTTAATATAGTAGGTAACCAAATAGAGACTTTTGTACATTTTATTTTTAAAGTTAAGTTCATTATTTTCGAAAGTAGTTACAATACTTGGCTTTCTAAGTCATTATATAGAATCGAAATATCGGTTTGTCACAGATGATAAGGAGATCGTTTCACTGGTGCTGTAACCAGGATAAGGTCAATTCGAAACTCAACCTATCTGACGGGAGGTACTCCGGGTAGGTCTTCTAGAAATAGATCCGGGTACTTGCACACTTGCGGTATGTCTTTGATTTCCTTACCCTTTTCTTGCATATCCACCACCTGGGCCAAGAAAGCTTAGTATCATTTCTGCAAATACTTCCTTGCCTTCATGTAAGTGATGACTCTTAGGTTCTTCCCTACATTGTCTCCATAATCACAAGGGTTTCATCGTTTGGTACGGGTAGTTGAATGAGTTTTTCATATTATTAAACCTTCGTTCGATGTGGTGATGACCAATTCATTTTAATGATCTCATTGCACTTTCAAGGGTCATAGGAATTAGATCTGAGTGAAGACGTGGTTTTTCAACGT